GGACTTCCTCAGACTAAAGAGCTTCTGCAAGGCAAAGGAAACCAGGAATAAAATGAAAAGACAACCCAGCAACTGGGAAAAAATATTTGCAAATCATATATCCAACAAGGGGTTAATATCCCAAATATATAAAGAACTCACACAACTGAATAACAAAAAAAAAAAAAAAACAGCCCGATCAAAATATGGGCAGAGGACATGAACAGACATTTTTCCAAAAAAGATATACAGATGGCTAATAGGCACATGAGAAGATATTCAACATCACTAATCATCAGGGAAATGCAAATCAAAACTACACTAAGATATCACCTTACACCCATTAGAATGGCCATAATCACCAAGACAAAAAATAACAAATGTTGGAGAAGATGTGGAAAAAAGGGAACCCTCATACACTGCTGGTAGGAATGCAAACTGGTGCAGCCACCGTGGAAAACAGTATGGACATTCCTCAAAAAATTAAAAATAGAAATACCATATAACCCAGCTATCCCACTACTGGGTATTTATCCAAAGAACTTGAAATCAACAATTCTAAGAGACTTATGCACCCCTATGTTCATTGCAGCATTATTCACAATAGGCAAGAAGTGGAAGCAATTTCAAGTGCCCATCAACTGATGACTGGATAAAGATGTTGTATATATATACAATGGAATACTACTCAGCCGTAAAAAAGACAAAATTGTCCCATTGGCAACAACATGGGTGGATCTTGAGGGTATTATGTTAAGCAAGATAAGCCAGACAAAGACAGACTCTATGATTTCACTCATATGTGGAAGATAAACTAACACATGGACAAAGAGAACACTTTAGTGGTTACCAGAGGGGAAGGGCTTTGGGGGGTGGGCATAAGGGGTAAAGGGCACAGTTATATGGTCACTGACAAATAATAATGTACAACTGAAATTTCACAATGTTATAAACTATTATGACCTCCATAAAAAAAAGGGAGGATTTCTAGAGATAATAGGCCCAGTCACCATTCCTCTTCTTCCGGCAGTGCTGTTGTGACCAATTCATGACTACGAGGCATTGTCCTGGCATTAAATCCAGACATCAGACAGAAATAGATTAACAAGCACACACAAAAAAATCTCTCTGACAACATCTGTCTTTTAACTGTAGTTAAATTTTTCATCTTTATTGTGATTATCAATAAATTTGGACTTTTTCATACTGTCTTTTAAAAAATTTACGTCTCACTTTTTCTCTCCTTTTCTTCTTATTTAATTTTTTTGATTGATTGAAGGTTGGTTGGTTTTATACCATTTTAACCCTTTCTAGTGGTTTAAAACTTATACATTCTCTCTCTGCCAGTTTTTCTTGAAATTTTACCATGCTCGTATAATTTAAAGTGTCCCCTCCCTCCTAAACAACACGAGGAGTTTAGAATGCTTTAACTGTACTCCTCCCTTATAGAGCATTGCCCAGGATTTTAGTTTTGAACTTTTTAAAACTTCTCAAATTAAATATTATAAATATTATTATTGCAGACGATGGTGGTTGGAGGTACATACTGATTTGCCACTTTATTTTCTCGCTCTTTCTTCTTACATGGAAAACTGTCCTGCAATCATTTTTTTCTTCTTCCTGATGCACATCTCTAAAAGTTCCTTTAGTGGGCATAAATTCTCTCAGTCTTTATCTGTGTCTTTATTTCACCTTGGTTTTCGAAAGACGGTTTTGCTGGGAACACAATTCTACGCTGACAATTCTTTCAACAGGAATATAAGTGATAGAGAGAAGTCATTGGATTAAGATTCAGGCAGGATGTTAAGCTTCCAAAGCCCTGTGGGAAAGACGAGTTCACTTCCTGAACTGATACTCCAACCTCGCCTCCCTCAAATTCTTTCGTACCTTCCAGAAGTATCTTAACATGTCCAGTTTTATTGTCTTCTTCACTGAAGAACTCAGAGACCTAAAAAATAAGTGAGATAGTATTTGCTGGTGAAACAGTATTCCGGGAAGGAATACCTGAATTTCTTCTCTCTTCTACGTGATGGTCGGTTTCCTCTCATCCCCGGGCAACTTCTTGGTGTCAGGAAGCTTTGGTCTCCTCCCTTTGTTTAGAAGCATTTATCATGACATTCTAGGGTCTGATCATCAGGCCCCCAAATGTTCTTCATTCTTTTTCCCAGAAGGTCTCGGGGCCTCATGGAAATAGAGCACTCCCACCCCACACCCCAACTTCACATCCTGCCTGAAAGTTCTGTGAGGCAGAACCCACCTTGTAGTAACTCCTCTTCTGCAGTGACACATATCTAGCCCTGACTCCCATGGGCAGGTTTGAAGGGCCAGACCCTTCTGCTGATGTCCAGCCTGGAAAGCTCTTTCATTTCTACAACACAGAATCATCACCAGCCACATAACCCAGCCCACCCCCTCCAGAGTCCACCTCATCTCACCCCTCAGCTAGCACGTTATCTGTGACAATTCTGGATCACCTTCCCTCCTCCACTGAGTCGGCTTTCCTTTTTATCGGCTTCTTAACTTGCACTGGTGCGAGCACAGACAGCTGCTGGCTCACGGGCGCCTGTTCTTAGGATCAGAAGGGGAAGGGTTTGTTCCTATGAGCTCCGGTTCAGAAAGTCCCAGGAAAAACCCTGCCCAGGCCTAACTCTGAGTGCCCATCCTCGGGGAGTAAGGAATCATGGTTGGCCCTGGTTATGGGGCCCAGCTCTGTGGCCTGGGGGCCAGCGGAGACATCAGTAGAAGGAGAGAGATTTGCTGGGTGAACCCAAGAGAAAAGCCCTCATCCAAGCTTGTTTGGGTTGTAAACCAAGACAGACTCTTTCTTTCTTTCCTTCGCTAATCCATCCATCCGTCCATCTACTGGATGAGCGGTTATTAAACACCTACCATGTGCCAGGCAGTGTCATATCTGAGATGGGTATAGCAGTGTGTGAGATCTGGCTTCTGCCCTCATGGGTGGACAGGCCAGTGGGGACGGAGGAGAGATTGAGGTGTAAGCTATCAGAATGCAGTCCACATGTCTAACAAAGCCATTTCACATGCCTGGTGTGCCCGGGTCAAGGAGGGCCTGTCCAGGTGGGGTGGGAGAGAGATCAAAGGAGGAGGTGGTGGACGGGAGCTGGCAGGGCCAGGGCAGGACCTGCGGGCCCCCGGAAGCCTCACTTGGACACCAGTGGGGATGGAGTCAGGCTGGCTCGGCTGTGTCTGCAGCTGGAATTCATAGGCACTGTCCCTTCCAGAAGCTGTTTGGAGCTCTCTGGGCATGAGCCATCCCACCTTCCTGCAGCCCCTCACAGCAAGGGAGACCTCAGCAATTTCCTTGGGCCTTGGGCTCTTGCATTTCCCTCCCAAGGGTCCCCTGGGGATCGAGCCCCTAAGCATCCTTCTGTTGCCCCGGCTCTGGGGGCTTCGGCAGTCACCAGGGCTGCCTCTCGCTCATAGTGACGTCACTGTCTCCTAAATATGTGACCTTGGGCAAGTAACTTAATTGCTCTGTGCCTCAGGTTCCTCATTCGTAAGATGGGGGCAGTCACAGTCCCCACCTCATAGAGTTGGGGGATTAGTTAGCTAATATTTGTAGAGTGGGTATGACAGGGCCTGACCTATGGTCAGTAAATGTTCACTATTGTATTATTGTTGTTATTTTTGTTGTTATTATTATTATTGTTATTCTGGCCCAGTGGAGACCACAGAGTCCCCACCACAGCAGCGCCCGCTGTCTGAGCCCCTGGGACCGCCCCCTCGGCCTCTAGCTTGGGTTGGGGGAGTGTTTCCTGCAGCCCCACGTGGGGTCAGATCCCTGGGCTGGGGTCACAGCTCCACTCTTCACTCCATCTTCTCTCTGCATCCTTCTGAAGGCCAGCGGCGCTGTCCAGGGACTTCCCTGGATCCGGACTGACAATGGCCGCGCTTGACAACTGCACACAATGGCAACAACCTTTGGCCTCAGCAGCCAAAGAGAAGGGCACAGCCTCACCCTGCCCTCCCAACCCAGAAATGGAGTTTGGCCTAAGCTCTGAAAATGCTGGGGTGTCCCTCTGGAAAGGCCCCATCTGGGGTGCCCCTGAGAAGGCGAGGAGACCTGCTCCTCTCCGGCCTCTCCCAGGCCCTGCTAGTCCAGGGGCTCCTAGGCCTAACTGGGGCATTAGAAGCCTGGATGTGTCATGATCAGAAGCCTCCTGGGAAGGCCCTCCTGACCATCAGAACCCCCCTCTCACCCGTTCACTGCTTCTGGGGATCCCTCAACAGGTGACAGAGCCTCCCTAGAAGTACACTGCAACTCCTCAGGCCCTAACCACCCCCTCACTGACCAAGGTTCCCTGTCTGGAGTGAGGCGGGGACACCATAATCGAAGCCCAGGAAATGGAGGCTGGGGCTTTGGGCTACTGCCAGACTGACCCCCATTACCTCTGTCTGTGCCTGAGCTGCTGGGGACTCTGGTGGGAGCATTTCCCTCAAGTTGTCCCTGTATCAGCTGAGTCAGGGACAGGCTGAGGTTGAAAGCCGAGCGGTGTTGAGGTTTAAGTAGACTTGTGCTGGGCAGTTAGTGCAGCACCTACAATTCCTGCCCAGTTTTCCTTAGAAAACCCAGCTCTCTAGCCACTTTGCTATGGTGACCATGTGTGCTGGACAGGTCCTGACTCAGGATATTTTCTGCCCAAAGGGGACCCCGACAATGCATCCTGTGGGATTTGGGGTTCTCCGGGTCTGGAGCTTGTATGCATCCCTGTCCTCCGTGCACACACAGCACGGCGGAGTCCTGTGTGCACGCACTTCACTCACATGCCTGCACACCCCTCACCGGCCCTGCCCCCTGCACGGGAGCATGCAAGGAGGACCAGCTTCTCAGTGGCTTCCCAGCTTCCTCTGCCTGGATTCTTGCAGGTCTGGAGCCTGGGATGTGGCCTTCCACGTGGCTTCTCAAAGACCACTCAGATAATGAGAGGAAATGCGGTCATCATCTCACAGACGGCTGGGAGTTCTGGGCTGCACCAGGAACCAGGCCATCGTTTCCTGACCCTCCATCTCTCTCCAGGCGACCTTCGGCTGTTCCTTGTGAGCCCGTGGACGCCACCCAAGATGTCCCCTTTTGGTTGCTGGGGCCTGCCTGTGGCCCTTCTCGCCCTGCTGTGCTGCCCAGGTGAGCCGGTGCCTGGGGTTCCTGACTTGGCTCGTGCCAGCCCAGAGGGTGGGCTGCCTGCTCCCCTGGCTTCAGGCCAGGGAAGGGTCCTAGTCCCGATGTTGCTGAGGCTTTGAACACAGCGGCTGACCGCCGTGGGTACAGGATGCTGTGCCAGCCTGGCTTCCCCGTGACCCTGGGGAAGCGGGTAGGGGTCCTGGCCTTTTGGACACCAGGTTGAACAGGCCCCACAGCTTCATGGCATGTGGAAGTGGCAGGTTGTAGAGGCTGAATGGTGGGCTGGATGGGGACCTCAGGAGGTGAAGGGATGCTGCGGTTCAAGGGAAGGTGAGGGCACGCCTAGGTCTTCAGATGTGGCCTAGGGGGCAGCAGGGGGCAGCAGAGAGCATCACCTTCTGGCCATGGTCAAAGCAAAAATGAATCCCCTTCCAGTGGGTCAAGGGGACTGTGAAGGAAAATGCCACCATGTGCCGAGCACTGTTTTGGACAACCTGCCAGGTGCTTTTCAAGTGCTATCTCACTGAACTTTCATGACAGCCCTGTAGAAAAGTGATTACTAGCCCATTTGACAGATGAAGAAACTGAGGCTCAGAGAGAGGAAAGCACCTGGCCCAAGGTCACACAGCTGGTACATGGTGAACTCAGAATTCAAATCCAGATCTGTCCACCTGGAAAGCCCCTCTCTTGCCACTTCATTATATGCCAGTAGCTGAGGGCAGAGCAGGGGCACGCAGGTGTGGTGGGAGCACAGGACGTAGGCTGGGCCCAGCTGGTTGGGATCAAGGACCTTCCCGGTCATTGCCGAGTGGGAGGTGAGTGTTGAGTGCTCAACCTTTATGCATCAAGTACTTCCTGAATGTGTCACACACAGGGCATTGTGCTAAGCACAAAGGGAAACATGCAAAACCTGGGCCCTGCCTTCTAGAACCTTCAAAACGTCTAAGGGAGAGTCAGCATGAATATGAGTCATTTGCAAGGTGGTCCCATAACCTTCCTGACCTTGTGTCCCCCTGCCTTCCTCCTCGCTGAGCTCCGGCCATCCTGTTCACCTTGCTGTTCCTCAGACACACCAAGCACACTCCTGACCCAGGGTCTTTGCACGGCAGTTCCCTCTCCCTGGACCACTGCCCCCAGATATCTGTAGGGCTCACCTCCACTTCCCTCATGTCTCTGCTCAGATGTCACCATCTCGGTGAGGCCTGTGTTGACCACATTTTCTTTTTTTTTTTTTTTAAAGATTTTATTTATTCAGTTTTTTCCCCCCAAAGCCCCAGTAGATAGTTGTATGTCATAGGTTCACATCCTTCTAGTTGCTGTACGTGGGACTCGGCCTCACGTTGGACGGAGAAGCGGTGCCTCGGGGCGCTCCCGGGATCCGAACCCGGGCCGCCAGCATCAGAGCGCGCGCACTTAACCGCTAAGCCACGGAGCCGGCCCTGACCACATTTTCAAAATGGCAATCCCACCTCGCTCCCTATTTTCTTTCCCAGGCACTTACCACCATCTGACAGGCTGGATATTTCATGTGTTTGTTATTGTCAGTCTCCTTCACTAGAATGTGAGCTCTGCAAGGGCAGGGTTTGATCTGCTCTGGTCACTGCCATACCCCCAGAGCCGAGTACAGTGCCTGACACAGGGCAGGTGTTCAAAAAGTATATGTGAAAGAAAGGAAAGGAAAAGGGAAGTGTTGAACCCAGGGCCACAGGGGCTCAGAGGACACAGTCTACCTCCACCTCACAGAGGCCTTCATGGAGGAGGGGACATTTGGGCTGGCACTTGAAGGTCGAGTAGGATCCCTCTCCGTGGAGATGGAAGATGTGCATGAGGAAGACTAATCTAGAGGCGGTGGGCTAGAGGAAGAGCAACCAGACGCAGGGAGACAGCTGCGGAGCAGCCTCTTTGGTCTAGACATGAGGCAATAAGCCATGAATGAGGGGAGAGGAGCAGAGGGTCACCCCTGGCCTTTCTTCTCAGGCCCCTGCCCCTTAATCAGACTGCCAGTGGTGGGCAGCTCCACAGGGCAGGGCAGCGGGGACATCTGCTGCCCAGTGTTTCTGGTCTTCCAGGGTCTGGTGAGGTGTTCGAGGTACTTATGTCGTCAGAACGGCTGGTGGTGGAGCCTGGAATGTCCTGGAAGATCAACTGTAGTACCAACTGCACCCAGCCTGAGAAGGGTGGTCTGGAGACCACCCTAAACAAGACTCTGCTGGTCAATCAAACTCAGTGGAAGCAGTACTTGGTCTCCAGTGCCTCCCAAGACACTGGCGTCTATTGCTACTTCCTCTGCTCCGGGGGACAAAATTCAAAGTCTCTGAACATCAGTGTGTTCCGTGAGTGCTGCGCTGTGGGACCCTCCTCCCCCAGGGCAGGGCCTGCGCCTGCTGAATGTCTGCAGAGCTACTCAGTTACTGCCCCTAGGCACTGTCGCCATGGCCTCCACCTCCTGGCTCCCGGGGTGACAAGGAGCAGGACTCAGGCTATGGGCTCAGAATCTGCTCACACCCTTCACTGGCCTCCTTGAGCCCGCTGGCAACCCTGGCTTTGAGGCTTGCTCAGAGGAGGACAATCCAAGGGAGGCTTATACAAATCTCAAAGTGGGTTCCTGCGCACCGCTCACAGCCTCCTCCCAGCTCAGTAGCAGCCCATCACCGGAACACCCCACGTCCCATGACAAGTAGCAGGGGCACCAGCAGGAGGGCTGGCACGCTCTCCAGTGGCCCCTTTGCCTCATGGAGAGAAGGTTGAGGCGTCACCCGGTGCTTTTATCTTCCCCTGAGGGCTCTTGGCAAATGTGGGATCATCACGCACACACCTTCCACTGGCCGGGATTCTCTCAACATCTCGGCACCAAGGGTGTCACTTGGGTCCCCCCCATTACCGACATCAGTGGATCAAATGAACAGAAAGATGTGTGAAATCTAACATATCATCCTGGAGTGATGGGGGCAAGGTATTCTAGTTCAGAAGGGAATCCAGGGCCCTGTTTCATAGATAAGGGATTGAGGTGGCTATGAACCTGATCCTGGAGAAACCAGGCAGGTCTGACTCCAGCCCCCACCTCTTTAGTGAGGAACTTCACAGTTCCTGGCCCAGTTCCAATGAGCACTCTCTTCTACATCTCTCTCAACATTATCCAACTATTTAATTTTTGAAATTTGTATTTAATTTCTGGAGAGGAAGGGGACAGATCCAAACTTTTTCTGTCTAGTCGGCTGCACAGTTTCTGGACCTTCTCTCTTTGTCGACATATGACCACCTCCATTCTTGTCCATTCCAGAAACCATCATGTCCATAAAACTGTCACCCAATACCTCCTTCACCCTAAATTGCTTCCTTCTTCCTCTTTACACTCTAGAGCAGGCCAGGCCCCAGCCCACTTCCTCCCCCACAAGTCCAGCCAGGGACCTGTGAACACTGCAGTGACAGGGAATGGTCCTGGCTGGGTGGGGGCTGCTGGGACTGCACCTCCGTCCTGACCAGACCTCCTTCCATTCTTCCCTGCAGACCCTCCGGAGCAGGTGCTGCTGACGCTGCAGCCCACTCGGGTGGTTCTGGGCACATCATTCACCGTCGAGTGCAGAGCGCCCGCTGTGGCACCCCTTGAGAGGCTAACCCTCACCCTGCTCCGTGGCAAAAAGACTCTGCACAATAAAACCTTTGAGAAGACAATGCCTGACCCCCAAGAGGCCATGGCCATGTACAGCGCCACAGCCCACAGGGAAGACGGCCACCACAACTTCTACTGCAAAGCCGAACTGGACCTGCGGTCTCGTGGCGGGCACATCATTTCCTATGTCTCAGAGCCCCGGGAGCTTGAGGTCTACGGTGAGGGGGAGCCCCCAGGACAGAATGGGGAAGGAGAGGGCACTCACTCACTTTTGGCCCCTCGGGGGAAGAAAAGACCTTCACTCCACTCTCTGCCAGCTCAGGGGGTGGGCATCCAGGGCCCCCACAGTTAATCCCAAGGGCTCTCTCTTGCTCCCCCTCTTCCCTGAAGCTCTCTCCAAGTTCTCGGCTTGGACCCCGATTAGTTGCTTGACTGTTAGTGAGCTGTGTGACCTTGACCAAGTCAACTCCTCTCTCTGGCCTCGGCCCCTCTCTACAATGAGAAGTTTGGCCTGACTGACCCCTAAGGTGCCCTGGAGCTCCACTGTTCTGTGACTCTAGATAGCCAAGGCATTCCCTGTCTTCAGAGAGTTTCATAGAAGCTCAGTCAGCTCTGCCCAGGGAGAGACTTGGCGTGGACCACGCCACTGTCCAGGCTGTGGTGTCCAGCAACCACATGCTGGTGCCAGGGGGATTTCTGCCCTCACCATCTCATAGAAGCCTGGCTGGTGGCCCGGATCCCCTCCCACCTTTCCCCTAGATAATACCCCATTAGCCACTCATCTCTGCAACACAGGGTGACTGCAGGATGGATGAGGGGTGGCTGGGTGATGGGTGGACCTCTACTCCCTCTTGGGCCCTGGCACCTGGGACCAGAGGACTTCTAAGACCACTGTCTCCTTCCCCAGAGCCCATGCAGAACAACCAGATGGTCATCATCATCACGGTCGTGTCGGTGCTGCTGTTCTTGTTTGTGACATCCATTCTGCTGTGCTTTGTCTTCGGCCAGCACTGGCACCGGCATCGGACGGGGAACTACAGGGTGCAGGGTGCAGCGGCGTGCTTCAGGGCCTGAGATGGGCCTACCAGATACAGCCTGCATGAGCGGCATGGCCACTGCCACAACAGCCACTGGAACTTGACGTGGCTCCTCAGGGTTGTGGTCCAGCCCTGGCTGAAGGACTGTGACAAGCAACAGAGGCCTTTGGGGACATTTCTTTTTCTAATCTGAATACAAACACTTGGACTTAAGCCTGTGCCTCAATGTCTCCTCCTGGGATAACACTCAGTGGCTGGGAAGGGGACCCACCAGGCCTGGACTTCTCTCCTCAAATGTCTCCTCAGCCTCCCTCAGCCCTCTCCTTCACAGGGGCCTTCCAGAGCTCTGGCCAGCCCAGGCCCTGGGGTGCCCCGATGCTGACCAGCCCAGGTACCAGACCCACCCTCATCAGGCTCTGAGTGAATAATTCCTTCTGAGGGAGTGGAGGGGATGCATCCTGGCCAGCTGGCGGGGCAGAGAGACGCTCTGTTCCCACATGGCCCCTGGGACCTCAGGCCACTCCCAGTAGGAGCAGGACATGGCTCTGACATCTCCTTTCTGTCAACAGAGTCAGCTTCCTGTGGTGAGGGTGGGGGCCCCTTGGGGACTGGCTCAGCTCCAGGACCCTCCCAGCCAGTCCTCTCCTCCATCACTCTGGGCCTTCAGAGAGCTGTGGACAACAAAAGCAGTCCTCCCCTCTCACCTCCTGTTCCGTCATTAGGCCAAACCAAGCCCCGCAGCCCTGGCCGTCCCAGAGAGAGGGCTGAGGGGAGGAGGTCAAGGGAGTGCTCTGGTTCCCAGGCCTCCCCTAGCCTGAGCAGAAAACAGTGTGGCAGAGTTGAGCTTCCACGTGGCTTCCAGGCCCTGGACAGTGCTCTAAGGAGCTCTTCCTCCAGAACAGAGATCAGGCCAGTTCAAGGTCTCAGTGTGGGGAGGAGCGGGGCGGGGGAGGGGGGGATGGTGGGGGGGGGGGGGGGGGTGGGGGTGGGTGGGGAGGTGGGACTGATTCACCCGGGAGGAGAGGCCTGGTTGGGTTTGAGGGAGAGAATGGTGGCCAGGTGTGGGCGCAGAGCCGGCAGGCACTGGAGGGGCACTTGGGGGCTCCAGGGCCGTTTTCAGCCTTGTGGTGAAGCTGGTGCGGGTCCCAGGGCCAGCGTCTGTCCTCATGGCAGGCTCTCGGCATCATAGTGGTCTGGGGGGAGACAGCACCCTCATCTTGACTTCCTCCTGCCTCAGTGGACCCCAAGGAGGGAAAGGGAAGAGGACAGGCCAGTTGCCTGCAGCATTGACAGTAGGAGCCCCCTCCCCGTCCCCACAGGGAACCTGGCCATCCTGGCCTCCTGACCCATCCCTAGGCCTGGGCCCTGCTGCCCACCCACCCGGCCCCTACCTGAAGCTGGGGGTACATCTACACCCAGAGTCCCTGTGGCACTGGCGGGTGGGGGTGGGGGCACAGCTCTCCTGAGATGGGGAAGAGAAAAGAAAAACCCCCATCAGAAGTGGTTTCTGGGGTTTTACCCACAAATCTCTGCACCCCACCCCCAGCCCCTGGCCAGCGCCCAAACCCTTGCCTCACTTACGCCCCCCTTTTCCTGGAGGCAGGAGTGCGGTGCTGAATCCTGGCCGTGTCCTGCAAGTGGGGCTGATGTGGGGGAGGAGAAAGGAAAGGGCCTGGCCACGGTAGGGGGGCGCCCAGAGTGGGCCTCGGGCAGGGCAGGTAGTGGTGGTGGAACACCACAGGCCCTTCCTCCTGGGCTTCCATCTCCTCCTCCTCCTCATACTCCTCCTGTTGGCCCTCCAGGTAGACCTGGGGATCGTGCAAAAGGAGGAGGGGAGATGGTGACGCAGGATCAGGCTCTCCCTACCCCCGCCCCTCTATCCCTCTAAGTTATTTCTGCAGATACGCATCAGAAAATGGCTTCTGTTTATTGAATATTAACTACATGCAAGCAAGGCACTCTGGAGACATTTCTTCCTTATTTTGCAGGTGGGAAAACTGAGGCTCAACGAGGTTGAGCAACTTGTCTAAGGTCACCCAGCTAATACGTGGCCGAGCAGGGACTGGAAGAATCCAGGTGTGACTCCGGAGCTGGGGTGAAAGTCCAGCAACCTGCCTCAGGCCTCTTCTCCAGCCCCTGGACCCAACTCCGCCCCATCAGCAGGTGGGGCACTCGCCCCAGGGGCTGTCTGAGGGCCAGGGGGTGAGGGGCGGCAGCAGCTCCTGCCAGCCATGATAGTGGACACACCTTTCACCTCCCAGCATTGGAATCCTACCTGGCTGTCAAGGCTGGTTCTAAGGCCACCTGCTCCTCCCAGGAGCCTTTCCTCATCTCCCAACCAAGTGTGTACTCACACTTTGTAACTCTCCGTGCACGCGTCATAGCCAAAGCTGCCTTGTATTCAAAGTCTTTCATTTATTTATTCATTCAAATGTTAATTGAGCCCCTAATAAGTATCAGGCCCCTGCAGACCCAGGGTACAATGGTGCCTGCCCTCCTGGGCCTGCAGTCCAGTGGGGGATGCACTGCAGGGAAACCTCCTTGAAAACAAAACCTGAGTGGTCTGTATTTTGAGACCCCCCCACCCCCCTCCCATGGAGGCTGACACAGGCAGGGCCTGGCATATAACAGATGGCAAACAGACCCAGCCATATAGGTGTGGGCTGCCTTCCCGCTCCTCTGTCGCCTCGCCTGGTCGTTTTTCTCAAAGCAGGGACCCCAGATGGATCCCCACCCCTGGACCTGCCGGTGGGCTACCCCGTGCACCCCGCCCACCTCCTCACCCCCAGTCCACGCACCTGCGGGTGGGGCGAGACGGGCCTGGGGTTGAGCGCCGCTGCCACCAGGTGACTCAGCAGCAGCTGGTGCATCTGCGCGTTCTGCAGCATCATCAGCTCCAGTAGGTCTAGGGCGTAGGGTTCAGCAGGCCCGCGCCGGGTCTCCCCTGCCCTCTGCCCCGAACCCAGGGCCTTTTCGCGGACGCCCACCCGCCAGGGCGCGGAAGCGGGGGCGGGGGGGGGCGTGCAGCGCGGACTCCCAGAGAATGTGCGGGGCAGAGCAGGGCACAAGGCGGGTGAGCCTGGTGTCTCACCTTCCTTCACGCGGCCCGGCTGCGGGGGCGGCGGTGGGACGGCCCACGGGAGGGGCTGCAAGACGGTCACCCAGGGCTGGGGGAGGGGAGACTCAGCCAGGCTAGGCGGGGAAGGGATCGGGGGTGGGGTGGGGGGGCGTTGCGAGTTGCCTCCCTAACCCCGAAGGGGCCGCGTTCTCCCCTCCGCGCCCCCACGGCGCCCCGTCTCCCTGTCAGGTGTCTTCCTCTCCGGCTGGGGTAGCTCTCTTCACCCCCTACCACTCCCTCCAGGGTCTGGCCTCTCCAGGGACGGCTCCCTAACTCCGCCAACCCCCCAACCCAGGCCTCCCCGGTAAAGGCCCGCTCTGCTCCCGGCTCAGCACTCACCGTCGAGGCTGCACCCTGTGGTGGGGGGCGACCCCAGCTCCCTCCACGCCTGGAAGCCATGGCCCGCAGCCACAGGTCGCGGTTACCTAGGCGACGCCGCGACGCCTAAGTCTCCTCCCACGCATGCGCACAGCTCGCCCGCGGCTCCGGAAGCTGCGGGCGTTGGCCCTTCTGCTCTCTTCCCCTCTTCTCTCTGCCTCCGGGGTAATGGGGTCGCCGAGGAAGCCCCCGCCCCCCAGGAGGCCCCTCCAATCCCCTTCCGCCAGGGCTCCCTGGGCAGCGCGTCTTATTCCTCGCTGGACCTCCCACCGTTGTGCATACTCAGTACCGGGCCTGGTGGGCCCCTGTTTGTTGAGTGAATGAGTGACTGGCTGGAGAGGCCGGCCCCAACTCAGACACTTGGTTTTCAGGTCCCAAAGCCCAGATGACTAGGATGAGGAGTTAAGCAGGAATAGAGAAATCTGTAGGAGCAGGCTTGGAGGCGAGGGGCAGGTGGGTGAGAAGGGCAGAGGATCTGCTCCCTGTCACTCTGAATCAGAGGGGCGTCCTGCAGGCCAGGAGTGGTTTTTTTGGAGACCAAGGAAGGAAACACCAACCAAGTTCACAGAAAAGGCTAGGCCCTGGCCAGAAACAGGTGCCTGGCCCCTTAGCTCCGCGCTTGTAGCTGTTTGCTCCCTGGTTCCTGGCCACGGTGAGCTGCTGCTCCGCAGAGGTGGAGAAGCCTGGGAAGTTCAGCACCAGTGCCTGCAATTGTCCCTCATCCTGGAAAAATAACCAAAGCAGGCATTCTTTTTTGACAGGAAGTTATCAAGGTCTTCTTTGCTTAAGAACAGGTGAGGGGAGAGATCTATTTCGGCAGCTGTGACCTTCCTAAGATAGGCTCTGAGCAGCAGTCAAGGAAAATCCGGACAGGAAGCTGGGATTAGCACCCCCTGAGGTGCCCTTCCCCCACCGTCCACTTCTGTTCAGCTCCCCTTCCCAGCAGTCTGGGTGTCTAGAACCAGAAAGACCATTCTCACCACCTCCTTTGCACCTTAGTCCCTGTCTCCAGGGGAGGGGCCCTGTGGGCAGTGCATTAGCTGTCCCTCTGGGTCTTATGGCTTCAACAGCCATCAACAAGCTGAGATGGGGCACTGTTGTCACAAGCTCCCCGTGAGTGGGAAGGACACAGAAGTGCATCTTTCCATCTCCACCCTCATTCCAGGTAGAAAGGCAGAACCAATCTTTGTGCTCACTATCAGCAAATCTTGACCAAGGAGGTGCCTGTGTGTGCAAGGCACCCTTCTGAACACTGGAGACAATAGTGTATCCTTGCTTCTTCCAGCATTGTTGGGAAGTAAAAACGTACCTGGGAAGAGAGCAAAAATACAAGATTGTGCAAAGTTCTGTATGAGTGAGATATACAAGAAGGGATCATGAAAAAGAGAGGAGTCACTGAGGGTTGGACTTCTGAGAGAGGTGGAGGCCCTTGGGATGGGGCCAAGCAGGGTGAGAGGGAGAGGGCAGCCCAAGGCTGAGGACACAGCCTGAGCAAAGGCACAGATGCAGGACTGGACAGGGCCTGTAACGATCCAGTGTCTGGCTGTGGTGGAGGATCAGGGCAGAGAGAAGTTCCAGTGGCCTACTCGAAGACCAAGTTATGGAATTTAGGCTTTGCCATGGGTAATAGAGAGCTCTTGGTGGGTTTTGAGCAGGAGAAAAATAAGGGGTGACGTGTGCACAGCTATGTTTTAGGAAGGTTCATCTTGTTCCTCACATCTTTGTTCACATCAACCAGAATTAGAAAGAACAAATGTCTGATAGGGAAGTATCCTCCCAAGGGAATACTATTCAGCCATTGACAGTTTTGGTATAGAATATATCTATTGATGTGGAATGATGTCCAAGAGAGTTGAGCAAAACAATCAGGAAGCATAGTATTTTTGTTTTGTTTTTTTGTGAGGAAGATTAGCCCTGAGCTAACATCCGATGCCAATCCTCCTCTCTTTTTTGCTGAGGAAGATTGGCTTTGGGCTAACATCCATGCCCACCTTCCTCTACTTTATATGGGACGCCGCCACAGCATGGCCTGACAAGCGGTGCGTCGGTGCACGCCCACGATCCGAGCCTGCAAACCCCGGGCCGCTGAAGGGGAGCACGTGCACTTAACCGCTACGCCACGGGGCTGGCCCCTTATTTTTGTTTTAAAAATCATATGCATATATGTGCATGTATGCATACGTGTGTAGAGAGAGAAAGAGAGGGAGAGAGGGAGGGAGAGAGATGGAGGGAGGGAGCGAGACACAGAGACAGAGACAGAGACAGATGCAGAGAAAGGGAGGGAGGGAGACGGAGAGAGAGGCAATTATAGAGAAGATGTCAGGGCCCGCCCACCCCCCAGCCTCCCCCAGGGGTCTCCTGTTGGTTCTTGCCCTCACCTACAGTCTCTCCACCTGGGGACATTTTCTGGCCACAGGTGAGGTAGGCCAGAAGTTGTCCCAGGAGCAACCCTGAAGCATTAAGGGAGTTGTTGGTAAACTCCCCAGCCTGCTGGCCTTGGTGGGACAACTCTGAGGGCTCTTCCCCACAGACTCGCAGCATCCCTGTGGCCTTGTGCCTCAGTTGTCCCAGTGATAGCCTGCTCATGAATGCACACTTTATTGGCTTTTCTCCTTTCTCTGTCACTTCTCCACTCCCTCACAGTGCTTCCTGGGATCTCCTTCCAAATAAACTACTTGCTCCCAAATCCTTGTCTCAGGCTCTGCTTTGGGGGGAATCCAAACTAAGACACCAGCCTCCCACTTTTTCCACATCTGCCCCCAGGCTACTGAAAACTCTTGGAAAAAGCTATTCTAGCAGCTCTATGATAAATTTGTGTTCAGTGAAGTGAAATACCAAAATAGACATTGAAGAAAATTCGTCTGGGAGTATGATGGTCAATGGATTAAACTGAGGCAAAGCTGGAGGCAGAGAGGCCAGCAAGGAGGCCACCACCCTCATCCTTCTATAGGAAGCCCAGAGCAGGCTGGAGGTGTCTGTGGAAAACAGGCAGGAGGAGGTGACCATTTTACTACCTCAGATATAGGATTGCTTGTGAGCCCTGCGTGAAACTGGGATTTTGGCTGCGGTAAAAACTATCCAGCTTCTGGTATTCAATTAGAGTTCTTTGTCAAAGGAACTGGAGAATTTGCCATTTGGAGAAAGGAAAAGCCACACCCTTATCTGTAGGAGCTATTTTGCTATAGAAGCTCTAACATCAGTCCAACAGTGGAGGAGGTGACTTTCTGGCTACTTGCCACTATTGGTTTTTTTTGAGGCATTGAACACTCCACCTATTCCCTTTTTATTTTTTTCCTCAATGGGGACTCTCGTTTGCATCTTTATGTTTTTTTGTTTTTGTTTTTTTAATTTTTTTTTTGTTTTTTTCCCCCAAAGCCCCAGTAGATAGTTGTACGTCACAGCTGTACATCCTTCTAGTTGCTGTATGTGGGATAGGGCCTCAGCATGGCCGAAGAAGCGGTGCGTCTGTGCGCGCCCGGGATCCGAACCCGGGCCGCCAGCAGCGGAGCACGCTCACTTAACCGCTAAGCCACGGGGCCGGCCCTCGTTTGCATCTTTGATTTTTTTTTGTCTTTTGGGGTTTTCTTTAGCATCCCAAGACAATATGTACTCAAAGTCCTCCCTGTTGCCTTGGTAAATCTATTTCTGGAAATAAGCTAGACATGGAAAAAGACTTCTAGTCAAATGTATTCATCACAGTGTTATTTTTAAGAGTTGAAAATTGAACATTACCCAATGTCCAACAATAGGGGCATCGTTATGTAAATGAAGGCAATGCGCTCAAAGGAATAGGGTGCAGTCATTAAAAACCGTAGACCTGGAAAAATGATCTCCCTCCTCTTCTCTTCACATAGAAATGGAGAGAAAAGGAGCCTTTCTAAGGATGTAAGCGGAAGTTCAGTGCTGCTTTTGGTACAGATGAGAAAGCACTGAACAGGGAGATGACCCAGCAATAGGCCCTTTTCCTGGACCCAGAGGCACGAATTTGAAGGAGCTAGAATATGAGGGTTGGAGGAAAGGAGCTAAATACAGCTTTGCAGAATTACATGACTAACGAGATACGTGGGGAGAAGGAGCCTTGAAAACACAATAGTGAAGAAATTCCATTTTTCTGCTTAGAGGCGCTGACTACACTGCTTCTGCAAATCACGATTAGCCTTGTGAGATGTATGTGTGGTTTTGTCCAACAGGCTCCTGGCAGTCCTTTAGGGACTTATAAACATGTAGGTTGCACCAGTGGGATGCCCTGTGATGGGGACCCAGTTTCAAGGCCACCCCTCCCCCCCACCAGAATCGAGCTGTAGCATGGAGTCCAGAGCCCTCCCTTCCTGGGCTCCCTGGAATTGGGGTGCTGCCAACCATGGGGAGCCCCTGCTGAAGCTCCCAGAAAATCACCACAACCGAACGACTCAGGGAAGAAACTTTCTGCTCAGGCCGGGGGTGGGTGGGGACTGGGGTGGGGTGTGATGAGGCCAGTTCCTGCAGGTCGGGTGGGATTTTCTGAAAGGTGGTTCTATTTTGCAGAATTCTTCTGTTTGTGGGCCACTGAAACCCACCCTAAACTCATTTAAGGAAAAGGGGTAGGTTTTTGGCTCACGAGGCAGGGAAGGACAGTGATGCAGCTGGTCTAGAGTTTAACCGGCTCAGGAGTCAAAAGACGTCTTCAGGTCGCTCTCTCTTTCCTTCTCTCCCTCTCCTTCCTCTCTCCCCCTGTGTGGTGTTCTCAGTCCCTCCTCCTTCAGACAGGCTCTTCTGCTCGGTGGGAGACACACCCCAGGCACCCTCAGACTTACTTCAGTTACTCTCCACAAATTTAAGAGAATCCCGAGGAGAGAGAGATTATCTTTGTTTTCAATCAATACGTATAAATTCCTGGGAAGAACTATGATTGGCCCGCTTGAGTTACATACCCAGATTTTGGACCAACCTCCGCGGCCAAGAGGACTGGCCAGACGTGGGTAACACATCCATCTTGGTGGCTGGGGCAGGGTGGCTGTCCTGTAATCAGCAGCCCCACCAGAATCACGTATTTGGAGTAGGGGAGGAGCAGTTCCCCAAAGGAAGGAAGAATGTTGCTATCAAGAGAGGGAGGCCTTTATTCCCCTTGGGCTGTGGAAAAAGGTCATA